GGCCGGGGCGGCGGCGGCGGCGGGGGGCTCCCGTCGGGCTCCAGCAGCGGCAGCGCGCCGGGCGCCACGGCCACCGCCACGGTGGGCGCCATGGCGAGGGGCGTGCTGGCCTCCGGCCCGTCGGGGGGCGCGGGCTCGGCTTTCCCGCCGTCCGCGTCGCCGGCCGTCGCGCCGTCTCCGCTGCCAGCCGCCGCCCCCTCCTCGTCTGGGGGTCCTGCGCCCCCCAAGCCCAGCGCGGACAGCTGGTCCAGCGCCAGGCGCAGCGCGGCGGCCGCGTCGTCGGGTTCGGGCGGCGGCCGGGGCGCGGCCTCCTCGATGCCTGGGGGTGGGGGGCGCGGGCTGGGGTCTCCTCCGGCCGCCGTCCCCCCCGGCCCGCCGCCCCCACCGCCGTCGGGCTGGCCGGTGGAGCTGGGCATGGCCGGCGCTAGCGCTCGGGCCCGCGCTCTCGCCGCTCGGCCGCCGGCCGCCCGCGCCGCCGCCGCCGCCCGCGCCGCCCTCCGCCTCTGCGAGCTCGGCCGCCGGCCGCCGGCATCCAGCGGCGGGGCGGGGCGGCGGCGGGCGGGGCGGCGGCGCGGGGCTGCTCGGCCGGCCCGGGCCGGGGGGCGGCCGGACTCTCTGTGTTCGCGGGCTGCGGCGGCTCCTGGCGGCCGAGGCGGCGGCGGAGGCGCGGGACGCTCCTGCCCTCCCGCCGCCCGCCCTCCCGGGCCGCCGGCCCCGCCCCGGCCCCGCCCCGCGACGTCACCGCGCCCAACAATGGGCGCCGGCAGCGCGCACGCGCGGGGCGGCCCCGCCCCCCCCGCCGCGGGCTCGGACTCGGCGCGTTCGCACGTGCTGCCGCCGCGGCGAGTGGGTGGGTCCACCGGGCACCCACCCCGGCCCGGGCTGCCCCTCGCTGGCTGCGCGGGCCTCCCGTGTGCTCCGGGGACTCGGGGTCCCGCTGACGGCGCGCCCCTCGCCCCGGCGCCGAGCCTGGGGCCCCCTTCCCCAGCTCGCCCCCGAGCCGGGGGCCCTCTCTTTGTGTGCCTCTCGTGACCGCGCAGGGCGTCTCCCGCTCTCCGGGAGCTGCGAACCTGTGGTCCCGGTGGCCCCCTCACCATCTACCCTCCCTAGGCTAGGTGCCACTTCCCGGGTGCACCTCCCCCCCGGACCTGGGGCTCCTCGCCGCCCCCCCCCCATCCCCCTCAAGTAGAGCCGGGGGTCTGGAGCCCTCCCTGGGTTCTCAAGATCCTGCCGCCCCTCGGGCCCGCGCCCTCTCCGAGCCTAGCATCCCCTGCCAGCGCCTTGGGCTCTGTCTCCGGGTGGCTGTGGCTCGCGCCTGTCATCCTCGCTACTCCAGGCTAACATTTTAGGATCGCAGTTCAAAGCCAGCCCAGGCAGGAAAGTCCATGAGACTCTTACCTCCAAATACACACACACACACACACACACACACACACACACACACACACACACACACACACACACACACACACACACACAGCCAGCCAGAAGTGGAGGTATGGCTCCAGCGCCCAGGCCCTGAGTTCAAGCCCCAGGATCTGGAGTGCAGGGGTGGGGGTGTAGGATCATGGTTCAAGGCCAGCACTGGCAGAAAACCTAAGATCCCTTTCTCAACCCATAGCTGGGTGCGGGGATACACACACCCATCCTCCCAGATGCCACTGGAAGCTTAAATGAGATAGATCATGATCCTGGCCTATGCCTAGTCAGGAAAGGAGACCTGATCTCAGAGACGATATGTGAGAGCAGACAAATGCAGCAGTGGTACTCAGTAGATAATATGTTGAAAATGAACTGTACAGCTTGTGGATGGGGACAAGAGGAAAATACTGGGAGAAGAAGAGGTAACATTGTCCAAAAGATGTGCTCATTATCTGACTTGGGTAACTTTAACCCCTCTGTAATCTTTATAATGCTAAAATAAAAAATAAAAAAAAATAGATGAATGGATACACAGCACATCCCATCTACATGCTGGAACATCAGTCAGGAACACAGTGAAGCTCCTGGGGGCCAGGGGCAAAAAGTAGTATAAATATCTTTTAGGGATGGGATCAAGCAAGGCTATTTTCCATCATGAAAGATTTTAGTGGTATTTCAATTAAAGGGGAATAAACTATGTGTATTAGTTACAGCTTTGGTGTGTATGTGTGTGTTAGTAGTAGTGCTTTAGCTCAGGTCTCAGTGCTGTCCCTGTTTCTGTTGCTCAAGGCTGGCATTCTACAACTTGAACCACAGTTCCACTTCCAGCTTTTTGGTGGTTAATTGGAGGTAAGTCTATGGACTTTCTGCCCAGGCTTGGCTTTGAACATCAATTTTCAGATTTCATCTTCCTTAATAGCTAGGATTACCGGCATGAACTACCAGTGCCCAACATCACTCAATTTTTTTTTTTTTTTGCCAGTAGTTCTGGAGCTTGAACTCAGGACCTGGGTACTGTCCCTGAGTTTCTTTTTGCTCAAGCTTAGCACTCTACTACTTGAGCCACATCACCACTTCTGACTTTTTCTGTGTATGTGGTACTGAGGAATCAAACTCAGGGCTTCATGCATGCTAGGCAAGCACTCTACCACTAAGCCACATTCCCAGCCACTCAACTTTTTTTTTTTTTGGTAGGTTGTGGAACTTGAACTCTGGGCCTGGGCCCTGTCCCTCAGCTCTTCAGCTCAAGGCTAGCACTCTACCACTTGAGCCACAGCACCACTTCCGGCTTTTTCTGCTTATGTGGTACTGAGGAATTGAACCCAGAGCCTCATGCATGCAAGGCAAGCACTCTACCACTGAACTACCTTCCCAGCCCACTCAACTTTTTTTTTTTTTTTTTTTTGGGGGGGGGGTCCGGTCATGGGGCCTGAACTCTGGGCCTGGGTGCTGTCCCTCAGCTCTCCAGCTCTACCACTTGAGCCACCGCTTACTTCCAGCTTTTTTTCTTTTTGCTTATGTGGTGCTGAGGAATCGAACCCAGGGCCTCATGCATGCAAGGCAAGCACTCTACCACTGAGCCACCTTCCCAGCCCCTCAACTTTTTTTTGATTGTGGCTGTCACTCTACCACTCTGAGCCATGCCGGCAGTGAAGTATTTTTACTGATTAATTGTAGACAGGATTTTTCTGCTTGAGCTAGCTTTTTACCTGTATCCTCAGAACTCAAGATTCCAGAATAGCTAGGATTGCAGGCATGACTAGTATTTGGCCCATATATATAGCCCATACACACATATTTGTGTGTGTATATATGTATATACGTGTATATGTATACACGTATATATATATATATACACACACATATGGCCCACACACATATATATATATACTTTTTTCTTAATTTTTATTTTTCCTGGGTCTGGGCCTTGAGCTCTGGACCTGGGCACTGTCCCAAAGCGTCTTTTGTTCAAGGCTAGTGCTCTAACTTCTTGAGCTACAGTACTACTGCTGGCTTTTTCTGTGATTAATTGGATAGTCTCACAGACTTTCCTGCCAGGGCTGGTGAACCATGATCCTCAGATCTCAGCTTCCTGAGTAGCAGGATTACAGGTGAGTCACCAGCACCAGCACCTAGCCCAGTAAGTTATTTAAAATGATAAATGGAGCATGCTGTGTGGGTGAACCTCACTATGTCATTTCATTCAATGATGGACACTTTTGAGCCTCATGGCTCTTGATCAAGTTTTACAGGATCACATTGCGGTGTCCAGCCTCCCCAAAGCCTATGGATTCCTGCCCAGAACAGTGTTATCCAATAGGACATTTCTGATGATGTCCTCCCTGCGTAAGCCCACAGTGGTGACTTGCTAGGACATAGGTCCCTGGGTTAGGGGCTTCTCAGGGGGACGAGGTAAGGGATGGTCAGAGTTGTCCATAGGCTGGGCCTGCAGGGATGGGAGAGGAGCAGCAGGGGTGCTGGGAGTTATAGTTCCCCCCTACCCTCATGAGCATTGGGCCCCCCCTTGTTGCGCTCAGCCCTGATATAGGATGGCCTGAGGACGCCTGGAGCTGGGGATGGAACTCCTATCAGCCCATGCCAAGGCAGCCATGTCTGCTTTGGGGATGAAGCTCAGCAGAGAGGATGAATGACAGAGACCCCTAAATGGTGGTTGAACAGAGTGGGGTCTGGGCCGCTTCAGACTGAGCTGTGGGCTGGAGCCAGGAATCCAGGAGAGGCTCTGGGTGCCCAGCACAGGGCGCAACAGCAAGAGGGAGACCGGAAGTAGGGTCACTTTCTCAGGGTTGTGGAACAGACAAGGTGGCGGAGGCTGGCATAGCTGCAGGTGTCCATATATCCAGAGGACCGCCTTTTGGGGTCCCCCACCCTAGGGTTGGGTGCCCCTTGAGGTCTTTCTAGGACATCCTCCTGAGTGAGGGGGATGGGTCTGACCTCAGCTACCCTGCAGCACTCAGGCAGGCAAAGATCTGCATGGGGCTCAATCTCCTTCCCCTTCCTCTAGGCTAAAGGATCATGAGGACCTGACTCAGGTGCCACCTGCCCGGGGACCTGCACACCACCGCTAACTCTTCATTCTGTAGTATGTATGTCCCCAAATGGTGAAAACCCAACCTCTTGGGTGGATTACCCAGTCCCGGACCCAGCAAGGGGCTTCCCTGGAGGTGGGATTATGGAGCCCAGGCACAGAGCCTGCTAGCTCTTGCTCCACAACCCCTACCTCTTCAGTGTGGGACAGGAAGGGCGGGGGTGCTGCCGCAGTCAGATCCTTGGCGGCTCACTGGCCCCAGGAGCCAGGGGAGAGGTACGGGTTCAGTGTCTACCTGGCAGTTTGCCTGGTATAGATTCCTGCTTGAGGGACTGGACACAAAGGGTGCTCAAGGAGCATTTTGCACTATCACACACCAAGAGGCCGCTGCTGGGGGTACCTGGAGAGCAGGATGAATTGTCCCAGGGCCCCAGCTCAGAACTGCTGCCTCCTCCTGGATCTGAGAGTGTCCTGCCCTGCTATAGAGGGAAATAGAGTGGTTCAGATGAAGCCAGGCGGCTCATACACAAGGTCCAGCCAAAGTTCAGCCATTTGTGTCATTTATTGAAGGAAAGTGACTTCCTGGGCTGCAGCTGGTTCTGGCTGGGAGCTGCCAGCTCTGCCTGCTAGGTGGTCCTGTGTGAGAGGAGCTGTCTGGACCCCCAGCCTGCAGGTCAGCCCTTCTCGCCTCCTCACACTGCTCAAGGAGGAGGTAGACCGAATTTCAAGTGTCTCCCCAGCTGCTGGAGATATGGCAGCCAACAACCACAAGGTGCTAGGGCTCCATGGCGCCCAGGCCAGTGTGCTGGCCCCTGCTGTGTTGAGGTGGCAGTGGCCACCGAGAGGAGGCTGGCTTCAAGGCTGAGGCATCACTGGCCCTAAGTTCACCATGAAGGAACCTCCTGCCAGGCGGGGCCCAGTGGCCAGCAGCTCTTCCAGAACCATGGCCTTCAAAGAAGAGCTGCAGCAGGGAAAGGGGGTCATCTTCCTCCAGTCATACCTCTCCAGGCCCAGAGGAGAAGAGGCTCATTGAAGGAGGAAGGATGAAAGGTGCCCCCTACCCACTGGGCCTGGCCTCTTGGCCTAGTCCCAAGAGAAGCTGAGTGCAGGCAGCCATGCAATGCCAGCTGGTGCTCCACAGCATGGGGTCCTTGGGCAGGGCATCTGGAAGAAAGAGGATACCATTAGCAAATGAATGAGGCATGGGGACCTGGATTCTTCTGGGACACAAGTTCTGGGCAGCGGGGCGCTGGCTCACACCTGTAATCCTAGCTGCTCGGAGGCGGATCTGAGGATCACGGTTCCAAGCACAGGTGCTGGGGTGTTAGGGGGTCCCTTGCCCAGGCACCACCACATATCAAGCGAAAAAGGGGCACTTTCATGGGCCTATCTTGTCCCTGAGACCCTTGCCTAGGTGTAGAATCCTGTCCTGGTGGCCTGTAGCACCTGCTCTAGACACGCTCCAGCTCCTGGTCTGGCTCAGGCTCCTCATCCTCATCCTCATCCTCATCGTCGTCATCCTCGTCCACGCAGGCCTTGTCCAATGGCGCCTCACCATCCCGGGCCAGCTCCTCCACGTGGGCCAGCATGTCAGCCATCAGCGCCTCCTCTAGCCGCTTCCGAACCTGCTGCACCAGCTCTTCCTGTTTCCTGGGGAGACAGAGGCTGTCAGGGGATGCCCAGCTGGCAGCTAGGTACTGGGGATGGATGGAGATGGAACCGTGAGCCCCCTCCCCGCTGCCCTTCTCTCATTATCCCTTAGCAGGTTTGCAAAGAAAACAAGAGAACGAGGCTGGAGGCCTAACTACTTGGGAGGCTGAGATTTGAGTCATGACTTGAAGCTAGTCTGGGCAGGAAAGTCTGAGACTCTCATCTCCAATTAAGCACCAAAAAAGCTGCAAGTGGAGCTGTGGCTCAAGTGGAAGAGTGCTAACCTTGAGCAAAAAAGAACAGGGACAGCACCTATGACTGAGTTCAAGCTCCAGGATCTGCACAAAAGAAGGGGGGGGGGGAGAAGGAGGGAGGGAGAAGACTGGAAGGGGAGGGGAGGGGGAAGGGAGAGAGGGAGGGAAAGAAAGTGTAGCTCAAAGTGGTAGAACACCAGCCTTGAGTGAAAATGTCAGGTGAGAGCTTGAGGCCCTGAGTTCAAGCCCTAGTACCAGCAAAAAACAAAAACAAACAAATAAACCTAATACACCTATGTGCTCTATGCCTGTCTAAGCAGAGTACTGCCTCTTAGCTTCCAAGGGCTAGGGACGAGTGCTGACCATCTCTTTGCCCACAGCCTTCTGGTAACACGGCAGCTGAGAAGCTGTCGCCAGTCCCTATACACACCATCAACCTCTCTTCTGCGTGCTTTAGGGTGCTCTTTGTCTTTAGTTTACCAGAAACTCATTCAGACCCTCTGGGTTCCCTACCCACAGGAATGGCCGGTCTTCCTTGCTTTGCAGTCCCACCTTGCTGGGGCACATCCTAGTTGTCTTGCTCCAATCTAACCACCTTTAGTCCCCTCCAGGTTCCAGAGTCCACTATATCTACTGCCAGTTCTGTACTTCTAAAAGTTCCACATGGCTTTTAAAGATCCCATTTCCAATACCTTGCTCTTTTCTTTTTTTTTGTCGGTCATGGGGCTTGAACTCTGGGCCTGAACTACTCAGTTCAAGGCAAGCCACAGCACCACTTCCAGTTTTCTGCTGGTTAACTGAAGATGAGTCTCACAGACTTTCCTGCCCAGGCTGGCTTTGAAACCACGGTCCTCAGATCTCAGCCTCCTGGGTAGCTAGGATTATAGGTGTGAGCCTCCAGTGCCTGGCCGTGTTCTCTTCTTACATTTTCTTTTTTCTTTTGCCAGTTACTGGGGATTGATCTCAGGGCCTGGGCACTGTCTTGAGATTTTGTGCTTAAGGCTGGCTAGTGTTCTACCACTTGGAGCTACAGCTCCATTTCTGGCTTTTTTGTTGTTGTTGTTGTTGGTCATGGGGCTTGAACTCTGGGCCTGGGCGCTGTCCCTCAGCTCTTCGGCTCAAGGCGAGCGCTCTACCACTTGAGCTACAGCACCACTTCCGGTTTTCTGGTGGTTTATTGGAGATAGGAGTCTCATGGTCTCTCCTGCCCGGGCTGGCTTTGAACCGCTATCCTCAGATCTCAGCCTCCTGAGTAGCTAGGATTACAGGCGTGAGCCACCAGCACCCGGCTCCATTTCTGGCTTTTTGATAGTTAATAGGTGGTATAAGTCCCACAGACTTTCTAGCTCGGTTTGGCTTTGTACCTTGATCCTCAGATCTTAGCCTTCTAAGTAGCTAGGATTACAGACATGAGCCACTCAGCTCATGATGGCATTCTTCACTCCCACAACTCATGGAGTGTGGTGACTTTCAACCCAAATGCAGGGCCCACATCACTGCCAGCCAGTAGACAGCCTGAGCTCTGGTGGCTCCAAACCCTATGCTCCAGGGCCACGACTGCCAAGAGCCTTTAAGCAGGTACCACAAAGCATTTGTTCCAGATGCCTAACACTAGTTGAAAGAACCCTCTTCCTTTCTAGCACATTCTTCAAGAGCCAGGGCTCCTAGTTCACAGCTAGGCCTGGCCCATTCTGTTCTAAAGCCCAACAGCATTGGCAGTACAGGTGATGAGAAGGTGGGAAGTACGGGACAGGCCACTAGCTACCTGATGTCCTCGTCGGTCACCATGAAAGCTTTGCACAGGGGCTGCGTGGTGTTCAGCCACACACCAGGGTTCTTCTCCACAGCAGCTGAGAGCTGCCCTGTGATGGGCATGGTGCTGGTGTGCAGGGCGCTGGCGATGGCTGACAGCAGCGTCTCGTCTGTGCACCCAGGGCCCACCCCTGCCAGGACAGAGGACAGCCATTGGTGGGGGTGGTCATAGGAAGCAGCAGAAAAGGCCCTGGGCAGGCTGCTGCCTGCCACCACTTTCACAGCAGGGAAAAAATACAAGGTTCAGGGCTTCCCTTACTAAGAGCAGGGGTATGATTTCCAGGGCTGGGACAAAATCAAAAAGCTCTGCAGGGACTAGGCTTTTCCCTCTAGTGGTGCTAGGGATAAAGCGAGGAGTTTCTCAATGGGCCAAACTCCCAGGCCCTTCTTCCCACAGGTCTTTTCAGAACACCAGAGAGCTACTCAAGTTGCCCTTCTGTGCCCCCAGGACTCAGGCCACACAAGCTCCATCCTTGTTTCCACCTGTCTCCCCAAAGTCAAGTAAGAGTCTTGGCCCTCCTCATACCAGCCTGGCTCCGTCTTCAGAGTGGGGAGGGGAGATGCCCAGAAGTCAGGCTCACCTTGCAGGCCCTTGGGCAGGTCCATGGTCCTGACCAGCTCCTCTGCGATGTCAAAGGCACTCAGTCCACTCAGCTTCTTCTCCCAGAACAGCTGCCAAGGTAGAAGGGCAGCACGGTGTGTAAGGAGGGAACCAACCTTCCCTGGGCCAAGCCTACGGGGGAGGCCCTGAACCTCCTTACCCCTTACTCCTGCACCACACCCAGGTATTCAGTGGGTATTTGTAAATGAATGTGGAAATCACGAGTGCTCCTCAGTTTACAAAGCAGGTTACAAAGCCATCTATGTGCTGTGTCATTTAACACATCTGCCCACAGACCAAAGTTTTCAGAGTAGACTGGGAGGAGCTATACCACCTATGGGGAGAAGAGCAGGGGCGGAAGGTGCTCCTTTATAAAAGTGGGGACGGGCCCACAAGCTTTCACAAGGGGTCGGGTCTGGCCACAGGGTCTTACCAAGGTCTCAGGGATGCACTTAGCCTCACCTGCCTAGGCTGGTCCACCGCCTTTTGCGGATCACTCTTCACTTTGTTGCTAGGGTGGTTAGTGATCTTGGTCACTGGCTGCTTGAAGATGGATGCTGTCTGCCGCACGGGTAGTGCGGTGTTCAGGTCAGGTTTGCCCTGCGGGGACAAGGCGCTGCAGCGGGCGGCCCCCGCTGGGGTCCACTGCGGGCCAAGGGGACCGGGCGCATGCTCAGCCAGGGCCATCATGCAGGGCAGGGGCTCCGGCGGGCACAGCCCTGGTTCCGAGGCCTCGGGGGCTGTGTCCTCGCCATGCGCCTGCCGGCAGCCCTGCAAGGGGCAGCTCTGCCAGGCCACGCACCTGAGAGGGAGGCCCCGCCCCGACGATGCTCACCTTAACCTGGTTAGAGGAGTCGTAACGCACACGTTGGCGGCTCTTGTTCATCTTGCTCATCAGCATCTTGCCAGTACGGAAGTCAAAGGTACTCAAGTCCATGGAGCCTCCCAGGTAGCGAGCCAGCTGTGGCTTGCTGCGGAACTTCTTCCCACTGGGGCTGTGGGCAGAGGCAGGTCGGGCTGGGTCTGGGGGAGTCACGGTGGGACCATCCCTTATCACCATCCTGAGGGAATGTCTTTCTACCCTTCCAAGCCCCCTACTGCCAATACGGGGCAATCTCAGAGCATACTGCAACATGGTTCTCCAGAGCTAGTGGCTGGGGCACTGACCTAGGAGCCCCCTTTGGGATGGTCACAGCATTGGAGAGGGGACTGGGACCAGAAACCCTGCAGTCGCCTGGGACTGGAAACGGGGTGCTACTTGCTCTGTCAGGCAGCCTGCTCTGTCCAGGAAATACTAGGCATCTGTGAAGCCAACTGAGACCACTTGAGGGAAAGAACAGCACCAAGCTCAAGACAGCTAGCAGATGGGTATGAAGAGCATCCGGTGTGGAAATGGCATGACACCTGGGACTCAGCAGTTCCACCCCTAGTAAGCCGCCACCCCAAGCAAGGAAAACGTCCACCTTGAACTTGTACTCCCATCCAAAAGGTGGAACCACCCAAGGTAAGTGATACAAAGCATGGTCCATCCAGACTGGAACAGCATGCCGCCTTGAACAGGAGCAGGATAACATAGGCAAGGAACCTTGAGGGCCAGGTGGTCAGTGAGAATCAGATACAAAAGGCCCCACTGATGGAAAATGTACTTCAAGCAAATCCATAGGCTAGACTCCGGATTCCTGGTGCCAGGGGCCACAGAAGAGGAGGGGCTTCCTTTGGAAATTCTGGTGTTGACAGTGGTGATGGATTTTGACTACACTAAAACCCATTAAATTGCATATAAATGGATGAACTGTAATAGTCCATGACTACTCACAATAAGGCTTTATGGGGCTGGGAAGGTGGCTCAGTGATAGAGCGCTTGTCTTGCATGCATGAGGCCCTGGGTTCGATTTCTCAGCACCACATAAGCAGAAAAAGCCAGAAGCGGTGCTATGGCTCAAGAGTGCCATCTTTGAGCTGAAGAGCTGAGGGACAGCACCCAGGCCCTGAGTTCAAGCCCCAGGACCAGCAAAATCTGTGTGGCTGAATATTATTATCTGTGGTCATGTTACAAAACTAATACCTTGCATACTTCAAGAGATGAACCACACTGTATATACATCATTTCAACAAAGTCATTAAAAAACAAATTTAAGGCAGATTAATAGTGGGGAAGTGGAGAGTACCAATGGGGATGGTAGTTCTTTTAGGGGTGATGCAAATGTTATGGGAGACAGTGGTTGGGGTTGAACAAGCCTGTTCATGTCGTAGTAACTACTGCATTGCACACATTAAGTTAACTGCAACCCTCTGTACATCAACTTTATAATAACAATTTTTTAAAGGTGAGTTATGAAACATGAATTACACTGTAATTTGTGTTTGTATGTAAACACACACACATACGCTGGATTGGGGCTTGAACTCAAGAGATTGGTCACTGTCCCTCAGCTTTTGTGCTTAAGGCCAGTACTCTACCACTTGAGCCATACCTCCAGCTTTTTGGTGATTAATTTCAAGGTAAGTTTCATGACCTTCCTGTTGGGACTGGCTTTGAATTGTGATTCTTAGATCCCAGCCTCCTGAGTAGCTAGGATTATAAGCATGAGCCATCAGCACCTGGCTTACACTGTAATTTTTTCACATGGTTATGCAGATTCACACTGACACAGAAAGATTTCCCTGACATTTTTTTTTTTTGTCGGTTGTGGGGCTTGAACTCTGGGCCTGGGCGCTGTCCCTCAGCTCTTCAGCTCAAGGTGAGCGCTCTACCACTTGAGCTACCGCGCCACTTCCGGTTTTCTGGTGGTTTATTGGAGATAAGAGTCTCACGGTCTCTCCTGCCCGGGCTGGCTTTGAACCGCGATCCTCAGATCTCAGCCTCCTGAGTAGCTAGGATTACAGGCGTGAGCCACCAGCGCCCGGCTTTCCCTGACATCTTATTGAAGAAAAAATTTAATACAAAAGATTGTGCAAGCGTACAAAGAACAGCCTGAGCTCTCTCACATCTAGCTTTCAGTCAGTGCCGTCAGCAAGCAGACCAGGCTTGCACCTCTAAGAGGTTCTGTCTTGCTGTGGGAACCTCACATCCCATCTCTTCAGTTCACCTGCACCTTTTCCTGCTAACTCAAGAATGGGGGTGGGGAGGGGAGAGGCAGGAGGCAGAGGGGGAATCCCTCAAAGATGAATGCCCAGAAGTTCAGGGAAGGCAGGATGATCACATTCTCGACACTGGCAAGCTTGGGCTTGGTCCAGGTCAAGCTGCAACCAGTCTCAAGTCTCCCAAGCCTTTGTACAGATGCCCACTGCCTGGACTACTCTTCCCTTATCTACTGTCCTCCCCTCCACATCCAAACAGCAGGCAACCTACCTTCAGGCATTTCCCTTGTCTGAGAGGATAGAACCCTACCACTTCGAGGAAACAAAAAGGAGTAGTCATAGAAACAGGGCAGGGCTACAATACAGAATGCATATAGGGACCCTAAAAGACACTGTTTGCAGCCCTGAAATTACAACATCTGAAATGACGAGGTCCCCGCTTATCATATACCACTTCAGGGGCTAACAGTCCCATCTTGCCTTTGCCATCCTTGCACTTTTTTTTTTTTTTTTTTTGAGTCCAGTCGTGGGGCCTAAACTCTGGGCCTGGGTGCTGTCCCTCAGCTCTTCAGCTCAAGGCTAGAGCTCTAACACTTAAGCCACAGTGCCACTTCCAGCTTTTTTCTTTTTTGCTTATGTGGTGCTGAGGAATTGAACCCAGGGCCTCATGCATGCAAGGCAAGTGCTCTACCACTGAGCCACCTTCCCAGCCCCCTTGCACTTTCTTTTGTTGGCCGTGGGGCTTGAACTCGGCCTACGAGCTATCCCTGAACTCTTCAGCTCAAGCATAGCCCTCTCTACCAATCTGGGCCACAGTGCCTCTTCCAATTTTCTGGTGGCTAATTGGAGATAAGAGTCTCACAGCTGTACCTGCTCGGGCTGGCTTTGAACTGTGATCCTCAGATCTCAGCATCCTGTGAGCTACCAGTGCCTGGTTCCTTGCACTTTTTGTTTTTGTCGGTCATAGGGCTTGAACTTGGGCGCTGTCCTTGAGCTCTTCAGCTCAAGGCAAGCACTCTACTACTTGAGCTACAGTGCCACTTGCAGTTTTCCAGTGATTTATTGGAGATAAGTGTCTCACGGGCTTTTCCTGCCCGGGATGGCTTTGAACTGCAATTCTCAGATCTCAGCTTCCTGAGTAGCTAGGATTACAGGTGTGAGCCATGGATGCCCGGCTTCCTTGCACTTTTTGAAAGCTAAGCTTGTCTAAGATGAGTACCTACCCTTCTACACATAAGATGTCCCTCACTTAACCTCTCAAAACAGGAACAGCAGAAAATCAAAGGAAGACAGCACTGTAGGCTGAACTTAGCACGGAGCCAGATGCTGTCCCTCACTGGCTCTACTGCACTCCCCTAGCCAGTCCTGCCCAGCTCGCACTCTGCAAGCAGCAGGCATCCTAACAAGAAAGCAACTCAAAGGGAACAATTAAAGCTGTTGGTGCTGGTGACTCAGATCTGTAATCCTAGCTACTCAGGAGGCTGAGATCTGAGGGTGGCAGTTCAGAGTCAGGTGGGGCAGAAAAGATCGTCTCTTATTTCCAATTATCTACCAAAAAATCTGGAAGTGGAGGTGCGGCTCAAGTGGTAGAGCATCAGTCTTGAGCAAAAAAGCTCCCAGATAGCACTCAGACCCTGAATTCAAACCTTAATACCCGCACAAAAAAATAATAATTTTAAAAACTGGCTTGGAATAACAATGACTTTCAAGTTGTGGTGCAGCTGTTATTGTTTGCCTAGCATGACTGAGGGGCCGTGGGTTTGTCCCCAGCCGGGGGGGAAAAAAGAATCATTCAGAAGACAAGGCAACACAGCAGGTGCTAACTAGCTGTCTGAACCAGAGACCGGCATGTAACTCTTTGTTCAGCCAAGTGGGTTCTCCAGCTGTCCTTCCCAAGTAAAGAGCAGTCCCCTCCTCCCCAGTTGGTGCTGGAGGGATCTGAAAGCCTCTGACCACCTGCGGAATCAACAAAAAGGCACTGGCACTGGGACTCACATCTAGGCAGACACGATCCACGAAGGGGCATGTGCAATGAAACATACCGCAAGGAAAATGTAGCTGGGGACGGGCCCGGGAATTTGCATTTTCGAGCAGACCTGCCACGGATTACTCCAACGAGCCAGGCTCTCCCCAACCCCTCACCCCATCCAGGGCTCCAGTTTCGGGAACTTCCCAAAGGGATCAAAAGGACAGCCCAGCCCCCACCCCCCGCCGCCCAGCAGCCTCTGGCCATGGGTCGGGCGCCCCTCGCCCAGAGCGCGCGGTGACCGCGACTATCGGGACAAAAGCTCCCATTACCGCCTGCCCCAGCACCATGCGGCCGCACGCCAAGCTGGGCGCACGCGCACTGGGCCATCGCCCGCCGAGAGGGCCAGCTCGTACGCGGGACGCACGCTCGTACGCACGCACGGCGCACGCGCGCGGCCCAGGCCCTGGCCCCGGGTAGGGGCGCCCAAGACGCCGCAGAGGCCGCTGGGAGGCGCCCGTTGGGGCCCTGCGCGGCCGGGGCGCTCATTCACCTATAGTAAAAGATATCCCTGTGGCCGGCCGACAGCCCCGACCTTCTGGGCACTTCTTCCCTCTCCCAGCCCTGCGGGAGCGCCGGGCACTCCCACCTCTTCCGCTCCATCGCGCCCAGCTCCACGGCCCGCCTCCGGGCCTGCCGCCGCCGCCGCCGCCGCGACCCCCGCTCTTCGCCGCCGCCGCCGCCTCAGCTGCCTTCCACCGCCACCACTTGCCGCGGCTGTTCCAGCCCACGGGCCCCCGCCCTCCGCCCCAGCCGGGCGTGCGCCGGCTTTGCCTCCCTCTCGGCCCCCTCCCCGCGCTCGCCAGCCCCCGCTCGGGGGGCCGCTCCGCCCACCCGCCCGCGCGCGGGGCCAGTGGCTCATCTGCGCAGCCGCAGAGCCAGCCCCGCCCCCGGCCGCCCGCAGGGCCTGCTCCTAGCCGAAGAGGCCAATCAGCGCGCGGCAAGGGGCAGGGCCGCTCGCAATTGGAGAGCGTGCGCCCTTTGGCCCTGCGCACCCACCCTCATGGACAGCTGTTCCCGCGCGGGGCGCATTGGAAGCTTTGACACTTGTCAGGTGCTTGTACACCTGGCGGGGAGTCCTTTCCCTGTGTACTCACCTCACTCTGCTAGAGACTTGGGGATCCCCTTCCAGAGCTGGAACCGTGACTCTCATTGCTTTTTCGCTCAGGGCTGATGGCTCTACCACTTGAGCCACAGATTTTTTTTTTTTTTTTGCTGATTAATTGGAGACGAGGGTCTCATGGATCTCCTTCCCTGGACTGGCTTCGAACTGTGATCCTCAGATCTCAGCCTCCTACGTTTATAGGCTAGGTTTACAGGCGTGAGCCGCCAGCGCCCGGCCTTTTCACTTAAAAAAATATTTTTAAAAGTATCTTTTTTTTTTTTTTTTGCCTGGCGCTGGTGGCTCACGCCTGTCATCCTAGTTACTAAGGAGGCTGAGATCTGAGGATCATGGTTCAAAGCCAGTCCGTGAGACTCTTATCTCCAATAATCCACTAGAAAACCAGAAGTGGCGCAGTGGCTCAAGTGGTAGAGCGCTTGCCTTGAGCTGATAGAGCTGAGGACAGCGCCCAGGCCTCGAGTTCAAGCCCCATGACCAACCGAAAAAAAAAAAATCTTACTTGGCTTTTATGTGTGATACAACAGCCTAAGAGCCAGGTGCCAGTGGCTCAGGCCTTTCATCTAGCTATTCAGGAGGCTGAGATATGAGGATTGCCATTCAAAGCCAGCCTGAGCAGCAAAGTCCATGAGACACTTATCTCTTACCACCAAAATGTTGGAAGCAGAGCTATGGCTCAGGTAGGTGGTAGATATTTAGTCTTGAGCAAAAAATGCTAAAGGACAGTCTTTGAGTTAAAGTCCCAAACTGTTACCAGCACATGTACACACAGTTGGGCTGGAGGTTTGACACAAGCCATTGAACTCCAGCTCAGCATGCAAGAGTCTCTGAGTTCAAACCCCAGTACCAGCACATGCTTATAAAGAAGAGGTTAAAGTTGGGTGCTAGTGGCTCACACGTGTAATCCTAGCTACTCAGGAGGCTGAGATCTGAGGATCAAAGCCAACCTTGGCAGGAAAGTCCGAGAGACTCTTATCTCCAATAAACTACTCAGAAAAAGCTGGAAGTGGTGCTGTGGCTCAAGTGGTAGAACTCTTGCCTTGAGCTGATAGAGCTGGACAGCGCCCAGGCTGAGAGGCTGAGTTCAAGCCCCGCAAGTGACACACACACACACACACACACACACACACACACACACACACAGGTGTTGAATTGTGGCATTTGGTCCCAGGTATCAAGTATCAAAATATACAAGTGCCTAAAGCTGCTCCTCAGAAACCCAGTTACATAGGCACTCATTTCCTTCTCAGAAAATTAACCTCTAGGCAGCCCCTGGCCATCACTTGACATAAAGTCCTGCTTGGCCCTGTGCACACAAAACTAGGTTGTTCTTGTGGGCATCCTGGGCACTGCAGGGTGCTGAGCAGCTTCCTTGGTCTCCATCCCTCCCTACCAAGGGAAATTCTGATGATTCCCAAAAGCTACTACAAGTCTAATACAAGGGCACAGGAACATACTGACTGAGTGACCAAGACTAAAGGTCACACTTCCATATTGTGCAGAAATCTGCAAAGGGATTGACATCCTCCAACCTATGGTAGGACAAAATGTAGATCTTTTGGGGCTGGGGTGCAGTTTAGGAATAAGACTTTTGCCTGATGAGCGTGAGCCCCTAGGTTCCATCCCTAGTACCTAAGTAAAGAAAAATGAAAGCTGGCACTGATAGCTCACACCTGTAATCCTAGCTGCTGAGGAGACTGAGATCTGAGGATCTCAGCTGGAGTAGGAGAGTCTGTGAAACTCTTTTTTTTTTTTTGAGTCCTGACGTGGGGCCTGAACTCTGGGCCTGGACGCTGTCCCTCAGCTCTTCAGCTCAAGGCTAGCGCTCTACCACTTGAGCAACAGCTCCACTTCTGGCTTTTTTTTCTTATGTGGTGATGAGGAATCGAACCCAGGGCCTCAGGCATGCAAGGCAAGTGCTCTACCACTGAGCCACCTTCCCAGCCCCTCTGTGAGACTCTTATTTCCACTAAATTACCATAAAAAGCCAGACATAGCCAGGTGCTGGTGGCTCACGCCTATAATCTTAGCTATTCAGGAGGCTGAGATCTGAGGATCTCGGTTCAAAGCCAGTCTGGGCAGGAAAGACCGTGAGACTCCTATCTCCAATAAACCACCAGAAAACCGGAAGTGGCGCTGTAGCTCAAGTGGTAGAGCGCTGGCCTTGAGCTGAAGAGCTGAGGGACAGCACTCATGCCCAGAGTTCAAGCCCCATGACTGACCAACAAAAAAAAGCCAGACGTAGGGCTGTGGCTCCAATGGTAGAGCTCAAGGACCAAAGCAGCTCAGGGACAGTGCCCAGGTCCTGAGCTGGAGACCCAATATCAGCAGAAAAAAGAAAAAAGAATACAAGACTGGGGCTACGGCTCAAGTGGTAGAGTGCCAGTTGTGAGAAAAAAAGAAAAACCAGAACACAAGGCCCTGCACGAACCCTGGTGCTAGTAATCCTAGCTACTCAGGAAGCTAAGATCTAGAGAATAGAAGTTTGAAGGCATCCCAGGACGAAAAGTCTTCCAAGACTCCAAAGGGGTCAGCAAACAGTTGGGCAGGATGCTTGCCACTCAAGTGGAAGAGCACCAGATAAGCAACCCAGCAAAGCCAGTGTGAAGCCCTGAGTTCATACCTTGGTAACTAGAAAAAACATTATGGTAGTAACTAAAAATTTAAATAAGCCGGGTACCAGTGGCTCACGCCTGTAATCCTAGCTACTCAGAAGGCTGAGATCTGAGGATCTAGCCTGAGCAGGAAAGGCCATGAGACTTTTTTTTTTTTTTTTTGGGTCTGGTCGTGGGGCCTGAACTCTGGGCCTGGGTGCTGTCCCTCAGCATTTCAGCTCAAGGCTAGCACTCTACCACTTGAGCCACAGGGCCACTTCCGGCTTTTTTCTTTTTGCTTATGTGGTGCTGAGGAATCGAACCCAGGGCCTCAGGCATGCAAGGCAAGCACTCTACCACTGAGCCACCTTCCCAGCCCCCAGCCATGAGACTCTTATCTCCAATAAAACCACTAGAAAACTGGAAGTGGCGTTGTGGCTCAAGCGGCATAGTGCTCACTTTGAGCTGAAGAGCTGAGGGACAGCACCGAAGCTGAGTTCATGCCCCATGACCAACAAAACAAACAAACAAATAAATAAATGCTTGGTGCTGGTGGTTCATGACTGTAATCCTAGCTACAAGAGGGTGAGATCTGAAGGTTGATGTTGAAAGCCAGCTCAGGCAGGGAAGTCTGTGAGACTTGAATCAACTACCAAAAAAAAAAAAAAAAAAAGCTAGATGTGGTGGTGTGACTTAAGAGGAAGAGTTCTAGCTTTGAACAAGAGACCTCAGGACAGTACCCAGCCTCTAAGTTCAAGCCCCAGGAATAGCACCAAAACAAAACAAAAATAAACCATGGACAGGATTTCAGTGTCAATTTTAGTCATTTTGCAGCCCAAAACCAAATGGGTTGTATGCTGCTTTGTATCCTCCCTTCCTCTACAGTATAGGGGTTTAAACTAAGACGAGTCACAGGAAGAGCTCAGCCCCTCTTGCTCCAGTTATTTTTTAGATAGGATCTCATGTTTTAATATTTTTTGCTATATATTTTTCCTTATATCTCTCTTCTTTTTGTTTTGGTCCTGGGGCTTGAACTCAGGGCTGTCATTGAGCTCTTTTGCTCAAGGCTAGTGCTCTACCACTTTGAACCATAGCTCCACTTCTGGTTTTTTTGGTGGTTTATTGGAGATAAGAGTTTCAAGGCCTTTCCTGCCTGAGCTGGCTTTGAATTGGGATCCTCAGATCTCAGCCTCCTGAGTAACTTGGATTACAGGCGTGAGCTACCAGTGCCCAGCTTACCGTATCTCTTTTTCTGTAATTTAATTTTGTTGTTGAGGTGATGTACAGAGGGGTTACAGTTACATATGTAAGGTACTTAGTATATTTCTCTTTTTCTTTTGTTGGTCGTGGGGCCTGAACTCTGGGCCTGGGCACTGTCCCTCACTTCTTCAGCTCAAGGCTAGTGCTCTACCACTTGAGCCACAGCGCCACTTCCAGCTTTTTCTGCTTATGTGGTTCTGAGGAATCAAATTCAGGGCCTCATGAATGCAAGGCAAGCAGTCTACCACTGAGCCACCTTCCCAGCTCCAATGAGTACATTTCTTGTTGAGCCTTGTTACCTCCTCGATTTTCTCCAATCCACTCCTGCCATCACCCTTATATCTTGATCTTCCTATATCTGCCTCAGATGTGCCTTGGATCACATGCATACCCAACACACTGAACTTGATAGTTGAGATGGCGTTTTTTGCCGTTTTTGCCTGAACTGAGATCCTCCTGACCTTTGAGTCCCTCCTCAGGATTAGAAAGATCAATGAAAGGAGGGGGTGGCTTTGCAGAGTTGTGGGTAGATGCATTAGGAAATGTTACAAATGATCCTCATTTATACCAACACAGAGATCTGATATCACCACAAGATCATTGTAATAATAGATGACAGAATTCCTAACAGATTAGTGGATGCTGGCTTCGATATAGGCAAGCTGGTTATCTATGTGGAGAGACACCAAGAAGAGACGTGAGAATGAGAGTGTACAGCACAATGTTGCAGCTGCCAGTTTGTTTGGATGCTGGTACTGGGGTTTTTAATTCAGGGCACTGCCCCTTAGCTTTTTCACTCATGGCTAGCACTCTATCATTTGAGCCACACCTCCACTTCTGGCTTTTGGTAGTGTAAGAGTTTCAAAGACTTACCTGCCTGGCTTCATAACTTGATCCTCAGATCTCAGCCTGGCTCACTGGCAGCCAACATGTTTATGGTACCTTAGACAAAAGCTTACCTGCAAACATGGGTGTGGCTCAAGTGGTAGAGTGCCTGCAAGCACAAAGCCCTGAATTCCATCTCCAGTACCAATATAACAACAATAAAAGGTGGCTGATGCGGACTTAAGTGTCTGTACCCAAAAACTAAAATACTAAGCTGGGCACCGGTGGCTCATACCTGTAATCCAAGCTACTCAAAAGACTGAGATCTGAGGATTGCAGTTCAAAGCCAGCCCAGGTAGGAAAGTCCATGAGACTCTTATCTCCAACAAACTACTCAGAAAAGCTGAAGTGTATGGGCTGGGAAGGTGGCTCAGTGGTAGAGTGCTTGCCTTGCATGTCTGAGGCCCTGGGTTAGATTCCTCAGCACCACATAAGCAAAAAGAAAAAAGCTGGAAGTGGTGCTGTGGCTCAAGTGGTAGAGCACTAGCCTTGAGCTGAATTGCTGAGGGACGGCGCCCAGGCCCAGAGTTCAGGCCCCACAACCGGACCCAAAAGAAAAAAAAAAAAAAATGTATGTATGTATGTATGTATGTATTTTTGCCAGTCCTCTTTTTTTCTTTTTTGGGTCAGCTGAAGTGCAGCTGGGCGCCCAGTGGCTCAGGCCTGTAATCCTAGCTAGTCAGGAGCTGAGATCTGAGGATCACAGTTCAAAGCCAGCCCCAGCAGGAAACTCTTATCTCCAATAAACCACTAGAAAACCGGAAGTGGTGCTGTGGTTCAAGCGGTAGAGCGCTCTCCTTGAGCTGAAGAGCGCAGGGACAGTGCCCAAGCTCAGAGTTCAAGCCCCACGACCGACAAAAAAAAGAAAAAAGAAAAGACGAAGTGCATGGAGAGGGGGGGAAGTGGGAGAAAAATGAGGGAGGGGTAACAAGTTGGACAAGAAATATACTTACTATCTCTAACTCCTCTGTACATTACCTTGACAATAAAATTTTTTTAAAAAGTGAGGGAAGAGGTAGGTCAGGAGCAACGGGTGACATTGTTGTCAGACACTTTGTATTCATATGCTGTTTTACAACTACTTAAAGATAATAAAAAATGAAAAAAAAAACAAACTGGAGTTGTAGCTCAAGTGGTAGAGAGCTAGCCTTCAGCAAAAGGGCTCAGGGACAGTGCCCAGAGCCTGAGTTCAAACCCCATAATCAACAAAAAAATAAAACATAAATACAAAACAACAACTATTAATGGTATGGGGTACTCTGTGGTGTTGTGTATGAGTCTGTATTGGTACTGAAGTTTGAATTCAAAGCCTTGAGGATTTTTTGGTGCCAGTTCTGGGGCTTGAACTCAGGGCCTGGTTACTATCCCTGAGCTTCTTTTGCTCAAGGTTAGTGCTCTACCACAGCACCACTTCTGGCTTTTTTTTATTAGTTTATTGGAGATAAGAGTCTCATGGACTTTGCTGCTGTGACAGGCTTCGAACCACAATCCTCACATCTCAGCCTCCTGAGTAGGTATGATTACAGTGAACCACTGGTGTCTTTAAACTTTTAGCTTTTTGGTAGCTAACTGGATATGAGTCCCATAGCTAGCTTCAAACAGTTTTTTTGTTGGTTGTGGGGCTTGAACCCTGAGCTTGGGGGCGGTCCCTCAGGTCTTCAGCTTAAGGCAAGCGCTCTACCTCTTGAGCCACAGCGCCACTTTCTGTTTTTTGGTGGTTAATTGGAGATAAGAGTGTCATAGACTTTCCTGCCTGAGCTGGCTTTGAAACGTGATCCTCAGCCTCTGTATCTCAGCCTCCTGAGCAGTTTGGATTATAGGCCTGGGCCACCGGAGCCTGGCTGCACTTCAGCCTTCTGAGTATCTAGGATTACAAGTGTGAACCACTGGGGCTAAGCTACTGTGAAATTATTACCTGCTAAATAGTTGAAACGACTCAACACTGCTGGCCCTGGCCAGTTGTGAGGCCTGAACTCTGGGCCTGGGCGTTGTCCCTCAGCTCTCCAGGTTAAAACTAGCACTCTACTACTTGAGCCACAGCGCCACTTCTGGCTATTTTTGCTTATGTGGTGCTGAGGAATCGAACCCAGGGCCTCATGCATGAGAGACACTGGGCCACCTTCCCAGACCTGGAAAGGATTTTTGAGGTCACCCAAGCCTGAGGGCAGGGAAACAACAAGATTGAGGCCAAGAAGGTTTCAGAGCAGTTTAATGTTACACACATTAGAACACCAGCATGTGGTGGACTTTGTAGGCATCCATCCATGACCAGGGCTCAGGGTGCTCCCAAGGGAGCAGGAAAAGTTGGCACCACCAGACACCTGGAGGACAGAACAAAGCTGATGAGCTGGCTGTGCAGGCAGCAGGGGAATACCACAATGACACACAACTCTGGGCAACAACACACCAAATCCATGGATGGTTCCCAGCTATAGGTGCAGAGGTAGTACACAGCCTAGAGTCAGGGGCCGTCCAGGTTCAAATGAGATCACTGGCCTTTGCAGAGGTCTCCACTGGAAATTGGAAGGTGAATGGTATGGGCCCAGCCTGCCGTGTGGACATGAGATCGTAGAGGTTAAGCCAGCAGTGAGGCCATGGGAAATATGTGAATGAGCTGAGGCCCATGCAGAGAGATGGTAGCAGGGGCTGGCCTCAACTTGCCCATCTGTAAATGGGTCATCTTCACCTAGTCCAGGACTAGGTGAATGCAAACTGGGTACATTCTCTGAGCAGCCTCCAAGGATGAAGGGGGCTGTCCAGCTTGGCTGAGCAGGGCCTACCTCCAGCACCACGTCTAAGGTAAGGGTAGGGTTGGTAACTTGGTGCTATCAGATGGGTATCCAAGCCCTGCCTCAGTGCAGGACACCCCCCCACTCCAGCCCTGGGAGTCTGAGATCCTTTTCTCCACCTTCCAAACCTTGGCTAACCCTCAAACCTGGGCTTTTACTCACCAGATGGACCCCCAAGGGTGTGTTAATCATCCTTCTTGAACTTGCCATTGATGTATGGCACCCAGTCCAGGATCAGCCGCCAATCAGTAGCCCACACCAGTCCCACAGCACCCACGGCGCCCCATATGCCGGCTGTGGGGATCCTGCAATGACAGGGGGAGTTAGATCTACTCAGGACTGTCTCCTGCCCATTCTTGGAAGCCAATTAAAGCTTCACAAGAGCTCTGTGCTCTGCCATGAGCCCAGTCCTCAGGAAGCTCTGGTTTGGGATAGGGTCACCCAGCACAGAATTGCCCCTGAGGCTCCCAGTGTGTGAATGTGGTCTTGGGCCTCTGTGTTTAAGCACCTGTACCCCAATCTGATTTCACGTTGGGGCTATCTTTAAGAGTGCTAGAGAGGGGCTAGGAAGATGGCTTGGTGGTAGAGTGCTTGCCTTGCATGCATGAGGCCCTGGGTTCCATTCTTCAGCATCACCTAAGTGGAAAAAGCTGGAAGTGGTGCTGTGGCTCAAGTGGTAGAGCACTAGCTTTGAGGTGAAGAGCTGAGGGACAGCGCCCAGGCCCAGAGTTCAGGCCCTGCGTTAGACCAAAAAAAAAAAAAAGAGTACTAGAGGGCTGGGAAGGTGGCTCAGTGGTAGAGTGCTTGCCTTGCATGCATGAGGCCCTGAGTTCGATTCCTCAGCACCACATAAGCAGAAAAAGCCGAAAGTGGTGCTGTGGCTTATGTGATAGAGCACTAGCCTTGAGCTGAAGAGCTGAGGGGCAGTGTCCAGACCCGGAGTTCAGACCCCATGACCAACAACAACAAAAAAGAGTGCTAAAGACTTGCAAGGCAGATGGGTGTTAACAACTGAGGCACACCCCAGCCATGCCCCCCTCACCTTATTTTTTGTCACTCATGGGGCCTGAACTCACCTGGGCGCTGGACCTGAGCTCTTTTGCTCAAAGCTAGCACTCTACCACTTTGAGCCATAGTCACTTCTGTTTTGTTTTGGTGGGTCGTGGGCCTTGAACTCTGGGTCTGAGCACTGTCTCTCAGCTCTTCAGCTCAAGGCGAGCGCTCTACCACTTGAGCTACAGAGCCACTTCCGGTTTTCTGGTGGTTTATTGGAGATAAGAGTTTCACCGAGTTTCCTGCCTGGGCTGGCTTTGAACTGTGATCCTCAGATCTCAGCCTCCCAAGTAGCTAGGATTACAGGCATGAGCCACCAGCGCCCGGTTTGGTGTTGGTTTTTAAATGGCGATAAGTCTCATGGACTTTTCTGACCTAGCAGCATATCAAGATCCTCAGATCTCAGCCTTCTGAGTAGCTAGGATTATAGGTGTGAGCCACTGGTGTCAAGCTTAATTTCTCCTGTCCTGTGGAGGCCAACCAGACTTAACAGTACCTACATCCTAGCCTTTCCCGACTTTATTATTTAAGTCAATCCTACACTACAGTTCTCATCTCTTTTTCTTCTCTGTCAACAGGAATATAGGTACATAGGGTTTACATTTCCAGTACAGTGAGTGCTCAATAAATGCTTGCTGACAGTCAGGATCTACTGGCTCATACCTTTAATCTTAGCTCCTCAGGAGGATGAAAACTGAAGATCATGGTTTAAAGCCAGCTGGGGGAAGGAAAGTCTATGAGACTATTATCTCCAATTAACCAGCAAAAAAATGGAAGTAAAGGTACGGCTGCTAAGTGCTAAGTGCCTGACTTGCCCCAGTACTGGTGTGCACACAAGCATGTGTACACATACCACAAAAACTTGCTGACCATGAATGAGAGGTGTGTACAACTCTGCCCAGGCACAGATGGGAATGAGCCAACCAGGCCACCAAGGCCTTCCTCTGGCAACAACCCAGTTGTAAAATAAGCTTAGCGGGCTGGGAAGTTGGCTCAGTGGTGGAGCGCTTGCCTTGCATGCATGAGGCCCTGGGTTAGATTCCTCAGCACCACATAAGCAAAAAAGAAAAAAAAAAAAAGCTGGAAGTGGCGCTGTGGCTCAAGTGGTAGAGAGCTAGCCTTGAGCTGAAGAGCTGAGGGACAGTGCCCAGGCCCAGAGTTCAGGCCCCACGACTGAAACCCCCCCCCAAAAAAAAAATAAGCTTAGCACCCTGCAAGAACAGGAAGAGGAGGCTGTTGGTTCCCCATGCTCATTGAAGTCTTCCCAATCCCACCTCCCATGTGGTACAGGGACAATGCAGCTCTAGCTTTCATGCTTCTTGCAACAAGGGTTTTCTTTTCTTTTTTTTTTGTCAGTGATGGGGCCTGAACTCTGGGCCTGGGTGCTGTCCCTTAGCTCTTCAGCTCAAGGCTAGCATTCTACCACTTGAGCCACAGCACCACTTTTGGACTTTTCTGCATATGTGGTGCTGAGGTATTGAACCTAGGGCCCCATGCATCCAAGGCAAGCATTCTACCACTGAGCCACCTTCCCAGCCCTCAGCATGTAATCTTCACTACTCAGGAGATTGAGATCTTAGGATCATGTTCAAAATCAGTTTGAGCAGAAAAGTCTGTGAGACACTTATCTCCGATTAATCACCAAAGAGCTGCAAGTGGCACTGTGGCTTAAGTGGCAGAGCAAAAGCTCTGGGACAGTGCCTAGGCTCTGAGTTCAAGTCCCAGGATCGTCACACATACACAGTTTTGTTATGGTTTTTTTTTTTTTTTTGTCGGTTGTGGGGCTTTAACTCAGGCCCTCTGTCCCTGAGTTCTTTAGCTGAAGGCAAGCGCTCTATCACTTGAGCCACAGCACCACTTCTGGTCTTTTGGTAGTTAACTGGAGATAAGTCTCACGAACTTTCCTATCCAGGGTGGCTTTGAACCGGGATCCTCAGATCTCAGCCTCCTGAGTAGCTAGGATTACAGGCAGAAGACACTGGCGGCCGGCTTCACACATTTTTGTTGTTGTTGTTTTCTTGCCAGTCCTGGGGCTTGAACTCAGGGCCTGGGCAGTGTCCCTGAGCTTCTTTTGCTCAAGGCTAGCACTCTACCACTTGAGCCGCAGCACCACTTCCGGCTTTTTGTGTTTATGTGGGCTTCATCTATGCTGGGCAAGCACTCTACCGCTAAGCCGCGTTCCCAGACCCACATACACGTTGTTTAAGTCGCTGACATCATGCCTCATTAACGTGCCCAAGATTCCGTTCCATCCCCAGCACACCACGTGTCAAACGTTAACACAGGTTCGGTTTCAAGGCCCAAAGAAAGGGCTGGGAGTCGGGCTGCAGAGTGTGGAGAGCTCGGAAGCGGCGCTCAGGCCCTCGCCTTCTGGGCATTTCATTCCAACCAGCACCACGAACTAGGCTATCTGGGGAACCTGAGGCTCGAAGCGGCTCAGCCCCGGGCCGAGGGCGCCGCGGAGTCCGGTCCCGGGCTCCATCTCGACCCCGGGATGGAGCGGTTCACCGGTCCCAGGCTCGGGCTGGGGGAGCCAGAGCCGCCGCCAGCGGGGGCGCAGGGTGGACGGCGGGAGGCAACCTCACCAGTTCTTGGCCAGCTCCCGGTAGCGCGGACCCAGGAACCTGCTCAGCATCGCGGACCTGGTCGGGACACTCAGGGTCACCGCGTCCCAGCGGCGGCTCCGTTCTGCGCAAGCGCGTCTTAGGCACGCAGGCGTATAGATCTTCGCACCACCGCCACCTGTTCCGAGGCTGCGTGCGCAGGCCCAGGAGACAAGACGCAACTTCCGGGAGGGCTGGGAGACGGAAATAGACGCAGGCGTTTGTGGGCGGGCCTTCCGCACCCGTGGTCGGGAGCGGCTGTGGCGCTGGCTCGGCTGCGTGTCCGCCCTCGCCGCCGCGGCCTGTAGCTGGCTTTGCATGAGGTGGGGCGCGCCAGGTCAGTGCTCCTCCTGGGGCCAGCCGAGGAGGGGACTTGCCCAGGGGCATACGGAGGTTTTGGCCCGCGTGGCAGTCCCGGCCCCAGGCTGTTGGCGCATCCTGAGTTGCTTGGGAGGCTTTTCCCTTTGCCGGGGTTGGCGATTCCTCTTCCGGGCAGTAGGGGGAGGCCTGGCGCTGTGTTGGTCCTCGGTCAGTAGGCAGGTTGACCATCTTTCCTCCTGCCCTGTGCCTAACCCTCCCAGAACTTGGAAAATTGAAACTACCCAATGAACTTGCCAGCCTCCCCCGCTCCCCCCACCTGTGCCCTATAGGCAGAGAAGGGGAGATGGTCCCCTCTCCCCAAGTTGTACCCTTGAGCTTTTCCCTCATTTTCATCAAGTGCCCACCTCCCTGAGGAAGTCCTCTGGGACTACATATCCCCAGACACCTGGGCAAAAAGGACAAGGCCTAGATGAATGACTGGGTGTTACTTGTCCCTGGGGAGGTTGGTGAAGGATCTACCCGCTCAGTAGATTTGCCTGCCCACTCCTGACTGCCCTCACAGGACCAGCTCTTGCTGTAGCTCTCCCTGGGGCTTTCAGGTTCTGTCTTGCCCTTTAGCTAAGGGCTTCTAGACATGGTAATGGGATGGCAAGGGCACTAATTCTAGGCTCTTCCATGCTCCGGGTGTTTCAGCGCTTGAGATTGTAAAGCACCTGAATGAGACAATGCCTGTTGGTAGAAATGTAAAAGTCGGGATGTAGAGCTATCAAAAGATTACTGAGAAAGCCAGGTGCATGTGGCTCACACCTGTAATCCTAGCTACTCAGGAGCCTGAGAATTTAGGATTGAAGTTCAAAACCAGCCAAGGCAGGAAAGTCTGGGAGACTTTGTGTGTGTGTCAGTCGTGGGTCTTGAACTCTGGGCCTGGTCGTTGTCTCTCAGCACTACCCTTTAGACAAAGAAGCCCAGGGACAGTGTCCAAACTCTATAAATTTAAACCCTAGGACTGGCACAAAAGAAAAACAAAAAAGCCGGGCGCCAGTAGCTCACGCCTATAATCCTCAAGGAGGCTGAGATCTGAGCATCATGGTTCAAAGCCAGCACGGGCAGGAAACTCTGTGAGACTATCTCCAGTAAACCACTAAAAACCAGAAGTGGCACTGTGGCTCAAAGGTAGAGTGCTCACCTTGAGCTGAAGAGCGCAGGGACGTATCCAAGCCCAGAGTTCAAGCCCCACAACCGACCAAAAAAAAAAAAAAAATTAGAGAATAAGGGTGCCTGCAGGAGTGGAGAGAGCTTGAGGGCCGCAGGTCCTGGACCCAGTCATTCCTGAACCTTATCTTTGTTCTTTCTGGTTTTGACAAAGGCTGGGGCCTGTTTGTAGATACCAATCCAGAGGCAGTTGTGCCTCTGAGGAATACTGGGTGATACCTGGGGACATTGGTAGTTGTTATAATTAGAGGTGGCTTCTAGCATGGAATGGGTAGAGGCACACATGTGGAATCACTGCACACAAAGTATAGGCACAGGACAAGCAGCTGCCTGTAGATGAGGACATCATGGACATTGAGAGTAAGGTTAACTAACCTCTTCTTTATCCCCCTTCATGCCATACTTGAGACTCAAAATGGCCAATGTCATCATGTCACATTTAGTTGGGTGCCAGTGGCTCAAAGTCTATAATCCTAGCTACTCAGGAGGCTGAGATCTGGGGATGATGGTTCAAAGCCAGCCCAGGCAGAAAATTCAGTGAGACTCTTATCTCTCTCCCATTAACCACAGAAAACAGGAAGTGGTGCTGTGGCTCTAAGTGGTAGAATACTAGCCTTGAGCAAAAGAGCTCAGGGACAGTGCCCAGGCCCTGAGTTCAAACCCTATAACTGACAAAAATAAAATGTCAGACAACAAACGTTGCAACATTGCTGTTTGTCCCAAGAACCTCCAAATTGACTTTTTTTTTTTTGATCACGGGGCTTTAACTCTGGGCGTGGGTGCTGTCCTTGAGCTCTTCAGCTCAAGGCTCTACCCCTTGAGCCACAGCACCACTTCTGGCTTTCTGGTGGTTAATTGGAGATAAGAGTCTCATGGACTTTCCTGCCTGGGCTGGCTTTGAACTACGATCCTGAGATCTCAGCCTATGGAGCAGCTAGGATTACAGGTGTGAGCTACTGGTAGCTGGCTTTATGTTTTTTTTTTGGGGTCAGGTCGTGAGGCCTGAACTCTGGGCCTGGGCACTGTCCCTCAACTATTCAGCTCAAGGCTAGCACTCTATCACTTGAGCCACAGCGCCACTTCTGGCTTTTTTCTTTTTGCTTATGTGGTGCTGAGGAATCAAACCCAGGGCCTCAGGCATGCAAGGCACGCACTCTACCACTGAGCCACCTTCCCAGCCCCTGGCTTTATGTTCTTAATCTCATTAATTTACACATAATTCACAGTTCCCATCTATGTGGCCAGAGGATGCCACTGCCTGTTTGAACAAATGTAAAGAAAAGCAAAATAAGCAACAAGCATAGGGCTGAGATGGTGGCTCAGTGGTAGAGGACTTGCCTTGCATGCATGAGGCCCTGGGTTTGATTCCTCAGCACCACATTTACAGAAAACCCAGAAGTGGCGCTGTGGTCAAGTGGTAGCCTTAAGCTGAAGAGCCCAGAATTCAGGCCTAATGACTGACCTAAAAAAAAAAAAAAAAAAAAAAAAGAAACAGAAACAGGGCTAGACGATGGCTCAGTGGTAGAGTGCTTGTCTTGCATGCATGAGGCCCTAGGTTCAATTCCTCAGCACCACATAAGCAGAAAAAGCTGGAAGTGGCGTGGTGGCTCAAGTGATAAAACACTTGCCTTGAGCTGAAAAGCTGGGGGATAGTGCCCAGGCCCAGAGTTCAGGCCCAACGACTGACAAAAAAAAACAACAAAAAAGACGGGTTAAGCAAATTTTTCTTTGTTGGTCCTGTGCACTCTCCCTGAGCTACTTAAAAGCTAGCATTCTATCACGTGAGCCACAACTCATTTTCTGGTTTTCTGGTGGTTTTATTGGAGATAAGTCTCACGGACTTTCCTGCATGGGCTGGCTTTGAACCGAGATCCTCAGATCTCAGCCTCCGAGTAGCTAGGATTACAGGTGTGAGCCACTGGCGCCTGGCTGAGGCAGATTTCTTTAGGGACAAATCCCACACAGATCACTGCAGAGTTCCCAGTCATGGAAGTGACTGGGTTGCCAAATGAAGACTGGACCATTCTTGCTTTTTGGTACCTGTTTTACCTTCGGATCTCAACACCCCAATGCCGGGCACTTTAGCTTTCTTGCGGGTGCATGGGTCATGGCGACAGTCAAGTGGAAGAAATCTCACATGCTGACTTGGGTGTGTGAGAATGTCCATAGAGCTACCATGCCATGTGCAGGAGTGGGGAATGGCTGGCACCCTGGTAGGCTGTGTAGCTGGGATAGTGACCACCTGTTCCTGTGTACCTGGGCAGCAGTTCCATGCTGTGACTTTGGTAGGCCTGAGCAAACGGGGGGAGTTGGTCCCAGGAAAGGGGATGTGGTGTTTAGGTTCCCATAGTTAGCAAGAGGTTGTTTTCCCAGGATGGCCATCAGTTGAGGCAGGGTATGACAATGGGTATTTTGTGTTAGCCCAAAGCAAAGTCCAGGGGAGTTGGTCCATGACCCAAAACTCAATGAGTTCTCTGGGACGCAGCACTGTGTTCTAGGTGGTGTGGCTCTTGTGCCAAATACCACTGGTCCCAACACAGCCCCATGAGAGACGTGCTCAGGCTCCTGGGGAGAGATGCCTCGGAGAGGCATGTGCAGAGGGCCAGAACTGTCTCCATCATTGGTTGCCTCCTGGTATGTTCCTGTCTCCGCTATGCTGGAGCCAAGGGCCTTGTGCTAAGTACGTATTCTACCACTGAGTCACACCTTCAGCTTCCTCTCCAGGGAAGGGATGAGCTAAGGCTACCCCTGAAGGGGAGAAAAGGGGAAAGGACCCACCTGTCACTGCACAGAACAAACAACCTAAGACATCAATATCTATATCAACAAAAATCATGAGGGTGACACAGGCTATCTCTGCCCTGTACGAGGCTTCAGGGGTACAAGGGTGGGGGACCCCAGGTCAACATTTTAAATGCAAATTTTTAATAATCTGGTTGAATATGAAATGCAACACAAACTTCTAGAAACAGCAAGAGACAGAGACTTTTATACAAAAAAATTTGCTTACAAAACATATGCCAAAAAAAAGCTAAAAAAAAAAAAAGACACCAAAGGCATCATTCTTGCTAATCTACATAAAAAATTTCATAACTAACGTTTTTATTCTCCTTAAAAAAAATATTATGCTTAGGCACAATTTGCTGGTGGCTCTCATAGAACAAGCCAGTTCTGCACACGGCAACCTGGCCTGGGCACAGGTTTCCACTCTTCCAGTTTATACAGTTAAGGCATTTTTCTTCTCTTTCTTACAAAGTGTATAATTTGTTGCTTTTGCTTTCTGGTTTTGTTTACCCAAGAGGCAAAAAAAAAAAAACCCCAAAACAAAATTAAAAAAAAAAAACCAACTCCCTTCAGTGGGTCACATGCCGCGGCGGCTGACGCCTGCCTCCCTTGGGGCCCATGTGGCCAGCAGATGCTGATGTACTGTGATGCTGCAGTGCAGGACAGTCCTGGGCAGGCTGGGGTCTCCTCCAGTGACCACTCAAAGGTGCCCAGAGGGGTTGTGGGTTTCACCCAGGCCTGGGTGGGTGGCTGAGAGTGCCATCTGGGGATCCCCGACCACACCTGACACCTTCTCTTCCTCTCTTCG